CCAGGCCCCTACCCGCTGCCTCCGTGGGCATGTGCCCACCAGAGAGTGAGGGTCTCCAGTGTGAAGCCATCAGAATCAGCCAAACTCTCAAATTTAGAAACAACCCTTTTCCTTTGTGAATAATGTTACATTTTAAATTTCATGTTAGAAAAGGTCATTTAAAGGATCACGTGACGGAGCTAGGAAGGCTGGCCCGTCTGTAGCTCTGTCGCAGCACCCACACACAGCACCCACACCCCAAACTGCCTCATCTCCTCTCAGAGCCTTAATGTCCCGCTTTGTAAAACATCAGAAACTGAACCACATGCCCACACAAGCGGATGCAGGGCCATTTCTGGAACACACAGGCTGGGTAGAAATCCCACTTGGTCTTTATTAGCTGACCAAGTCTTTCCTCCACCTCTACATTCCTTTTACTAGAGTCTCAAACTCTGGAAGACATGCAGGAGTCCTCCATGAAACACTTTCTTCTCCCCAAAGAGAGGTAACCTCACGATCTGGGGAAGTGAGGCTCAGGCTTCGGATCACTGGGCCAGCCTCTGGCTCTGCCACCTGCTAGCTGGTAACCTGGGGCAAGGAAACTAGATCTTGCCCAGCCTCTGTGGCTCAGTGGTTGAGCACCCACCTATGAATTAGGAGGTCATGGTTCGAGTCCCTGTCAGAGCACGTGTGGAACGTGAAGGAGACAGCCAATCAATGATTCTCATCATTGATGTTTCTCTCTCTCTCTATATCTCTTTCTCTCTCTCTCTCTCTCTCTCTCTCTCTCTCTCTCTCTCTCTCCCTTTCCCTTCTCTGAAATCAATAAAAATATATTTTTTTAGGAAAAGAAAACTAGATCTCAGTTTTCTTCCCAAGCACCTAAAAGAGCTTTAGTGAGAGTCAAAAGAAATACGTCACAAAAGTACTTTTGCACTCTACCTGCATAGCACAACCTTATAACAACTAAGGATGACACTTAGTTGGTCATCCTTAGTTGTTATAAATAACAGGGGCAGCATCTTCATGTTCTATGGCATGTACACAACTTCAAACACACACACACACACACACACACACACACACATATACACATACACAGTGGCGTATTATTCAGCTATGAGAAAGAAGGAAAGCTTGCCATTTGGGACACCATGGATGGAGCTGCAGGGATTATGCTATGTGAGGTTAAGCAGGCAGAGACTAATGCTGAATTATATCCCTTATATGTGGAATCCATATGGAACCTAAAAAAGCTGAGCTTGTAGACACAGAGAGTGAAATGGTGGTTACCAGGGGCTGAGGGTTAGGGGAATTGGGGTGATATTGGTCAAAGGGTACAAAAAATATTACACAAACTTATCTGAATAACCACCATTTGTGCCTTCTTCCACTTGTTCCAATAGTGAAAGTTGGATTGCCACTTTCCCCCACCCTCACCTACCACCACTGTGGCCTCGTAAGTGTGAAGCTATCTTTTAGGGGCCAAGACTCTTGGAAACAAATGCAGCGTGAGGGTAAGAATTTTTTCATGGAAAAAGGGCTGTGGGTCTGAACTTCCGAGGAGGGCTCAGGCCACTAGCTCGCTTTCAAATAAGGAGAGAATGACCGTTAACCTATCAGAAAGGGACAAGCGGAGCAGACAACCAAGAGAGACTCCTGTGGCCTTTCCATTCGCCCGAACTGATGGGTTGAGAGCCCAAACAGGGAGGCCCCCTCTATTTGCACAGCTGGAAAGCGCTCCCTTCGCTGACTTCCGAAGGAGACGCGGGCGGTGCTTGTTTAAAATCCTGGCACACTGAACATTAGAGAAGGTCATCATGACTTTATGGCGTATCGGGCCACGTCGGCCCCTCTCTGCAGTTTTCCCAGTTCACTTATTTATCCAATAGTATGAACTCAGAACTGCATATTCCACCAGCCACTGTCCAGTGGCAATGATCACTTTAATGGATTTAAAATGCTTTGCTGCTTTGCCTCATTAGGGCCGTTTCCCTCAAGATAGGGCCTAGTTATGCATAAAATGAAACAAACCAATGAGCTCCAGGCCTCTCTGGATTTTGCTAGTAGATCGGAGGAGACAGAGAACTCCTGCAAGCAGTGTACACGTCCCCAGATACCCATTTCCAGGGGACATGTCTGAGGTCCAATGGCTGAGAACAGTCTCTATGGCTACCAGACTTGCAAGTAAGTAATTCTGTAGGGAGAGTGGCTCCTCGCCCCCTGACTGGGGAAGGTGTGTGATCCCAGCTCCTGCTCCTCCCCAGCGCCACCATGGCCAGGCCCGGCCCGGCCACTGACAAGCTTCTCCCTGGGCTCCCCTGGGCTCTCCCCGAGTCTGCTCTGGGCCCTGAATGTTAATGACTCATTTCACTGAAGCACTAGTCTGAGTCAGGATGAAAATATGTAAGGGGGGCCCCTCTGGACCTCATGTCACTTGAGATGAAAAATGTTATGCTGCCTCCATACTATAACAATCTGAGACTATAAACAATGATTTAATTAATGACCATAGAAGAATACTTGCTCACTGATGTTACGTGGTCTAAAACCCCATAACTGACGCAACGCGAAGCCAATGTTTATATGGGCACAGATGACTGGAACCTAACGTTTTGATGGCAGCTGCTACTTTGAAGAGTGGTAAACAATGACATTTTATTCCCGAGGCCCTTCAGGAGAGAAGCGGAGTAAGGAGGTGAAACTTCTGAGAGGGCCTGGCTCTGGCAGGGAAGGAAATGACCGGATTTAGACAGGAAGGGAAGGAGAATCACTGTGGAATCCAAGGCCCGGCCAGCTCAGCGGCTACTATTACCTCCTTGGATTTTCCAAGTGGCTGTACTCAGAACTTTTACATCTAAAGGGCTGAATGCTATAGCCAGGCCCTGAAATACTCCAAGTTGACTAAACTATCTTCAAAAGGATGCTTCAGAGATTCTTATAAACAATGACTAAAACTAAATTATGGTGTAATATTAGTTGATTAAGACAAGACTTCAATTTGAGTAATTTTCATCAGCTGGACACAGACAGTGGTAAAAACAATAACCCATGACTAACTGCATCCTAGCCGATGGGAGAACTGCAATTCAACGTGGCAAGAACAACAGCAACATTTTTTTAAAAAAATGGAAAGGAACTCTCTTTTTTTTTTTTTTTTTCAAGACCGCAGAATAAAGGGGAAAAGAAAAACAGGAAAAGTGGAGCTCACTCAAGATTTTCAAATGTCAACAAAGTTCCAAAAATTGTTTCAAGAATGGACCCTTTCCTCAGAGGAAACAGAGGATGCATCGGCTTCCACCCCCTCAGGCCCGCGGTCCTCCCATGTGTCCCCTGAAATGGAGCCAAATGCATTAGCTCTGAGATAATCATATTACTGATACCTATAGAGAGGGGAGCCAGCCAATAAACTAAAATAATCATAGAATGTGTTATTAATAGCTTCAAGGAAATGTTGACTTCCATGCAGGTCTCCACTTTTTCAATGCGGAAAATGAGACGTGCTTAAAATATTGTTGCAAGTAGAAGCAGATCATTAAAGACAATGCCAAGCAATGGGAGAGACAGGCTGAGGTTTATTTGCCGGGCCATACCCCTCTTCTCTGGAAACTTCCCACCCCTACCCAGTGCTGGACCCCTCAGAGTGCGTATGTTTTTCTCTGTGGGCTTATCTCTGCCCATACCCAAATCAGCAGGGGGGTCCTGGACCAAGCTGGGGTCATAATCCTTTTTGGGAGGAAGGTAGGGGACTTAAAAATCAGAATTTAGCAGTAACCAGTTTGGCTCAGTGGATAGAGCGTCTGCCTGCCGACTGAAAGGTCCCAGGTTCGATTCCGGTCAAGGGCATGTACCTTGGTTGTGGGCACATCCCCAGTGGGGAGTGTGCAGGAGGCGGCTGATTGATGTTTCTCTCTCATCGATGTTTCTAACTCTCTATTGCTCTCCCTTCCTCTCTGTGAAAAATCAATAAAATATATTTAAAAAAAAAATCAGAATTTAAAGTTGTGGATCAATCAGTCTCAAATGGAGAAGATAAAAACTCCTTTCTAATATCATATCCTGCTGTGTAGAAAGAGAGGTGTACATGGCATAGGATGGGAATTTCTGAATATGCGCATGCCATAGCAGAGAAGGTCTATCATAGCAGAGAAGGTCTACCTACAGAGGGAAGAATGCACGGAGTGTAGAAGGAAACCAAGAAGGGAAAGAAAACAAAAACACAGCTCCCTTGTCCTCCTGGGACACAAGTTTCCCTCCCTTGTCTAGATTCTGAGTCACTCCCCTCTCTCTCCAAAACACTCCCCTTTTTAATTTCAGGGAGCAACTTTGGTTGCTTGCAACTAAAATAACTTTGTTTTAACTCAAACTAGACTTAATTGGTTGTGTAGGCTAAGTCATGCTATGGGAACATAGGAAACCGGAAACCCCAGTGACTTAACACTAAGGCTCATCACACACACTGTGTATGCAGTGTGGGCTGGCCTAGGGCAGGGGACAGGGGGAGTGGAAAGGCATTTGCTCCATGTGATGACTCAGGGCCCCAGGCTGATGAAGGTTGTTCATTTCATGACTATTCCATTATGTAGTTTCAGAGTTCACAAGAGCCAGAGCGTAGACACTACCGCACCAGCTCTTAAATGCATTATCCCAGAAATGACCAGGTTGGTTTTGCTTAAAGACTATTGGCCAGAACCAGTGTTGAGGCCCCTGAATGCTGAGCAAGCACGTGGATATTTGGTGCACAGTAAACGGTTCTGCCACAGTAACTCTCCCAAGGCCCCTCAGCTACTGAGCAGTAGAGTGGAGAGGCTCAGCCACTCCACTTGACTATGTCCTCAAACTTTATAAGCATATTTTGGGAGAGGCTGTTACAAGTTTACAAAAAATCATTTAGAAACACCCAGACCTTATCTTAGAATTCACAGCCTTCTCCTAGAATTCTCCACTTCCTCATGACTATCTTTGATTTCTGCGCATCCAAGGAGAAGGCACTGGGATCCAGGCCCATCAGAGGGACCTACCTTTGTTGGCACAGGCCATCCACTTGAGATTGTCTGCAAAAGCCGCCTCCCGTCCAATGAGGTACGTGAAGATGCGGACCTGAGGGGAAGGCAAACACACGGATCAGCGCTGTGTTTTCACTGTCCTGCACAGACCACATCCCGGCTCACGCACATGTGGTTTACCTCGTTAATGCCCCATGCTTCCCATCTGGAGGAACATATTTAAAACATTTGAAGTACAGTTAGCTTGAAATATATTCAGAACTGGGGCCTTTGATCTTTGAAACCATGTGGCACTGGTGGTGGTTGTTTTTCGGTGTGGAGCTCGCGACAAAGGAGAAGAACGTGAAATGGGAGACTGGCAACATTACGGGCCGTGTTTTGCTGCACACATATGGACAAGGAGCATCCAGGTCTGGCCCAGATCCGCACAGGAAATGCAGAGTGTGCTCTTCCTGGGAATAAAAACGCCACTGAAAGACCCTCAACATTTCCCCCCAGTGGCGAGGACAGGCTGCAGACACTCTCTTGCCATCTGTGGTCCCTAGCTTGATCTTAGGAGGTAAATAACTGGGACAAGAGGCATAGCTTGCAGCCAGGAGACCAATGGGGACCCTCTCAAGCCTTCCTGAGGTTTTGGCTCCAATACATGTAAAACCCCGGTTCTATTCTTTTCTATTGTTTTCCTAACTCTCTCTCATGAGGGCAGAATACTTTGTTTTTTATGATAGTTGGCATACATTATATATTAGTTTCAGGTGTACAACAGTGACTCAACACTATATTTCTCATGATGTGATCATCACAATACTAGTGACCATCGGTCACCATGCAAAGTTTATTATAGTAATATTGACTATTTTCCCGATGCTGTGCATGCCATCTCCATGACTTTTATCTTTTAAACTGGAGCTTTGTACCTCTTATTCCCTCTCACCCTTCTCACCCATTCTCCTGTTCTCCTCCCTTCTAGCAACCATCAGTTTGTTCTCTGTATCTAAGAGTCTGTTTCTTTTTTGCTTTGTTTGTTTGTTTTGTGTTTTAGATTTGACACATAAGGGAAATCATATAGTATTTGGAGAAGATGGAGAGAAAAGGAAACCCTTTTACATTATTGGTGGGATTGCAAATTGGTGCAGCCACTATGGAAAGCGGTATGGAGGTCCCTCAATAAATTAAAGATACAACTACTATACAACCCAGAAATTCCACATCTGGATATCTAGCTGAAGAAAACAAAAACATTAATTTGAAAAGATATACAGGGTGGGGCAAAAGTAAGTTTACAGTTGTGAGTACTCAAATCAGAGAGTTTATTCTAGTATTTTATGTATTAATTATTATATTATTTTCCAGATGAACAACTGTAGATCTATCTTTGCCCCACTCTTTATGTACCCATATATCACTGCAGCATTATTTACAATAGCCAACACATGGAAGCAACCTAGGTGTCCATCGATAAGTGAGTAGATAAAGAAGATATGATATCAACAAAGAGAGATAAGATATAGAGAGTAAAGGGGAGAGAGAGAAAGAGAAGGGAAAATTACTCATCCATAAAAAGAATGAAGTCTTGCCATTTGCAACAACATGGATGCACTTAGAGAATACTGTGCTAAGTGAAATGATCATCAGACAGAATTATTTTAAATAAACCACAACCCTGCTCCCAAAGTGGTACATGAGGGTTAGATAGAAGAAAGAAAAAGAATTAAAAATGTTAAAGCCCTTTCATTCAAATTTAAAGTGAGATGTGGGTTAACACTACACAGTCCAAATAAAACTCCTGGCAGGCCAAGTTCAGTCCTTCGGTCACATCCAGACCAGTTCAGGCACCGTCACTGCTCCTTCAGAGCCTTTTTCCCACTGTGGTTGACTAATATCTGTGTGGTTACCTCTGTGAGATTGATCTCCACTAGACTGTCCACTTGATGAGGGAAAAGAAGGGCTAGGTCTCTTGCCCCTGGCCGTGGCCCCATGGAGCACAGTGCTCGTAACATCACAGATCCAGACATGAGTGAATAAAAATATATGAGTGCCAAAAATTAAGATTTTGTTATAATTAGGAATATCTGCTTATCTGGGAATTACAACTTGAAGACTAGTTTTTAAGTGATGGTTTATTTCCAACTAAAATGATGTTTAAAAAATACATGATCGTTATGTAGCCATAGTCTGTCCTCATTTTCCTTTGGTGAGGCGGTCATTTCACCCTTCAAGGGGGCTTCCTGGTGGAGGAGCCAGCCGGGAAGCCTGGCCTCTCTTCACTCCCCTCCCTCCTTCCCCCACTATTCCCACTGGGGTCCATGTAGCCAAGGTGGTTACCACTGACCCTCCAACACAGCGCTGTCCCCTGTTCACTTTGCCTGTCTGCCCACTGTTGGCAGATAGCTGATGACTGATTTAGTGGAAACAGAGGCCCAGTGAAATAAAGGGACTTGATTAGTTTCAAGTCCTGATCTAATCAGAGTTCTCTCTGAGTCCTGAGACCTCAGATAACACTGGGGTCCCCTCTTATCCCCCTGCAGACGCTGGTTCTTCCAACACAGAAATCCCCACCCAGCTCCGAGGTCCAGAGCCAGCATCCACAGGAGACAGACTGGACTTCAGGCTCTTGAGACCCGACCCAGGCTGCTTTCATAGCACTTTGCCGTCCATTTCCCACTTAAGCTATTTAAAGAGGAAACCCTAGATTGATAAAAACTTGCATGCCCACTGGCTCTTAACCAAGCAGAAAGCATAATAGATGGCTCTCAGGAAATGCAGCTATGAGTCTATCTTGTAGGCAAAGCGGAAAAGACCCGTCACAAAGCAACCCATTTGGTTTTGGGTAGAGGTGCCTGTGTGTGCCAAACCTCCTCTGCTCTCCAGATGAAGAGCCACAGGATAAACTGAGTTCTCTCAGAGGCATAGTTAAAACTCTAGAACAATGCTGCGAATCATTCCATAATTCCTGATTTTAAAAGATGGCAACCCATTTGGAAAACCAGTAGGATTGTGCCAAATTTCAGACCAGACATGATTGCATTGCTCAAGAGTAATTGTGCTAACAACCATCACAATAATGAAAACCAGCCCACACCCGCCCCCCCCCCCCCCCCCACCACCACCACTACCATTGTGGCTTCTACAGTCAGCACCGTCCCCTGGGTCAGGTATGTGCTAAAGGATTTATGGCAGTGTATTTGTTTTGTTGGTTTGCGAAAGAAAATCAGAATCATCTTTAATATTTCCATTGATGTGCATTCCTTGGCTCCCAGGGGACTGGCCTCCTTATCTGAGTAGAAATGGCATGGAAACGACTTGTTGCATCTATGCCTATAAAATAAACATAATCAAACGATGCTGGGTTCACACCCTGGACTTCTCACAAGTCTGCCTTTCAACTGGCAACAAAAAGAAAAGAGATTTCACCCCAAATAAATATTTTGAAGAGCAATTTAACAATAGCCATCACATTTTATAGTTTTAATATTTTAGAACCAGTAATTCTACCTCTAGGCATTCATAGGACAGACAGGATAACAAATACAATGCCTCTGGGGGCCAAGGTGGTAACACAGATGACTGGAAGGGGAAGGAGAACTATGACCTCTTAAAGCCCTGTAACTCAATTTTATACATTTTCACAAATACACTAAAATGATAAAATACAAGAATGTTCAGTGTCATTACTTGTAATGGTCAAAAACTGTTGAATCTTAAGTGTTTCATGATAGCTGATTGGCTAAAAACGTATAGTCTATTCATGCAGGGGAACACCATGCAGCTATGTATTCATGTAGAAAGACATCCATCAGAAATTGGTAAGGGGAAAAAGCAGGTGGTAGGATATTGTGTAACATGGAGTCCTATTTTTTTTCTACAAAGAGACTTACACTTATTACTTCCGAAATTTCAATTTCATCTGAATGTTTTCACAAAGGAATAAGTATTGCTTTAATAATTAGAGATCCCACCTGACTGGTGTGGTTGGGGGTCAACACATGAACCAGGAGGTCGTATTTCAATTCCTGGTCAGGGCACATGCCCGGGAATTGTGCTCGATCCCAAGTAGGGGGCATGCAGGAGGCAGCTGATCAATGATTGTCTCTTGTAATTGATGTTTCTCTCTCTCTCCCTCCCTCTCTCTGAAATCAACAAAAACATATTAAAAAATAATTAGAAACCCCTTAAAATAGGAAGGAAGTAAGGACACCCCTGTTTCGGGAACCATTTTGTAAGGACATAGGAAGCATAAACATGGCAGCGAACATCAAACACAGAAGAGATGATACGTGGAAATTAAACGTGGCCTTGAACCTTCCTGGGTGGGCTGCTTATTCCACTGCTCAATTAACTGAGTGCCAAACCTCTGTGTAACAGACTTAAATTGTTCCTCATTTCCATCACTGACAGATCCTGTTGCCTGATGGATTTTATTTCCAAGGGTTGGAGATTATTTCCCTAGGAAGTGCCATCAAACAAATTTTCACAAGTCTGCCTTGAGTCCAACCACTTTTCTGATGTGACAAGTTGCCTTAGCAGATCGAGGGTGGTCCTGAGGCCCAGGTGCGTATCATGAAAAGGCATCACGGCACAGTTCAGCCAGGACCATTGTCAGGAGACACCAGAGTTCCCAGGAGAGCCAGGCCTCCGCGCTCATTGTCCGCAGGCAGGACGGCACCGCTTTCATTAACCGGCACAAAGGCAGGGTGGAACAAAGTCTGCATCAACCTATTAGTTCATTTTGATCTTCCATGTAAGTTTGGATGTCTTTAAATGCTCTTTAAACCCAGTCAGGCTTAATAAAATCTTAAGATGTGGACATTTCAAAGTTCAAAGTCACATAACTTAATCTACTGAGTATAAAAGTTCCCAAATGAAACAAACAAAAAACAACCCAGTTTTTCAAAAAAATAGATGTATGCTTCTTTCTCATATAGATGCAATTTCCAGCAAAAACTTGAGGGGGCGTCATTCCTTTCAACTTTTGGTGACTAGAGGTAGTCTTATTCGCAGGGGTCATGGGTCAAATTCCCTCCTTTCTACAACCATTAAAATAGGGGAGGGAAGCAGCTGCCAGTAAAGCTATCAGGGGGCATTGCACAGCCA